ACGAAAGTCAAAAGGAAAAAAAAATGGGAATTCCCAGACAGGACGTTTCTTAATTTTGCCAGTTTTGCACTGAATGGATTTTTTACGGAAAATGTGTTCAGGAGTATTTTCTTTGTTAGCTAGAAATATGCAATTTTTTTACTTTGAATCAGGATCAAGTTTAGATTTAAATGTATCTGAATAACCTAGCACTTACCATAACCAACTTCTTAAAATGAAAACCATCATTTATTTGCATTGTGGCGAATATAATTGTTTTTAAACGTAAAGTAATACCCCTTCAAAACTAGCGGCTCATGGGGCAGTAGAGTTTAACTGTTTCTATGTCATCAGCGAGTGAAGAGAAGGTGTGTTCAAAACCAGTGGCGTAGGCAGGGGGGGGGGTCATAACCCCCCCATAGACCCCTCGGTATAAATATATAAAGTATGAGGGGTGCAAATCGAAATTTTGAGCGGGGGGGGGGGTGCAAATCGAAAGTTTGTCCCCGGGTAAAAATTGGAACCCCCCTGAGACGATCCTGGCTGCGCCACTGTTCAAAACCGCCTTTAGTTTCTCTGTAACGTGAGTATGGGACCCACCAGAGCTGGGTGGACTCAATGAATCATCCGGACTCATTCCTAGGATCTGAACTCGAAACTTCCGGATGAGCAGTCGTACGCTCTACCGTTCGACCACTCCGTTCCAAAATTTCATTTTTTTTTTTTAAATACTCTCTTTACCATGCATTTAAATTTGTAAATTTGTTTCTTAGACTGCTCTCTTGTAATTAAATTTTACAAAGCAGTTTTGGTGTTCAGAAAAAAAAGGTTAATTAAAACATTTTTTTTCTTTTCTCCCCAACTGTTTTAATTAGCATGAAACATGAGCGATATCTCTGTATGGTTAAACATCTTGCCAGCTTATATAAAGCTAATTAACTTTTTTATCACTTGCTCGTAGGAAGGGAAAAAAAACTTTTAGCAATGTCGTAATAACCAGTGGTGTGACTGGTGTCACATGACAGTCACCGGTGACATGACACAAATGTCACTGGTGACGTGACATACAAGTCACCTTGTATATGCCCTCATACATGGTGGTGAGATGAATTCAGTGGAATAAACATGTTGGCTGGTTTATTATATGAGTTTGTTTACTCAACGCTATATCCCGGTAAAGTGAATGATACGACCTTGTCAATTGAAAAACATGACCTTGTTAACTGAAAAAATATCTTGTTAACTGAAAAAAAAATATGCTCTTGTCAACGCAACAATATGACCTTGTCAATCCAACGATACGACCTTGTCAATTGAAAAATAATAACCTTGTCAAGTTGTCAACCCAACGATATCACCTTGTCAATTAAAGAAATATGACCATGTCAACCCAACAATATGACTTTGTCAATTGAAAAATAATGACCTTGTCAACTGAAAAATAATGACCTTGTCAACTGAAAAATAATGACCTTGTCAACTGAAAAATAATGACCTTGTCAATTGACAACTAATGACCTTGTCAACCCAACGATATGGCTTTGTCAACTGGAAAAAAATGACATTGTCGACCCAAAGATATGACCTTGTTAACTGAAAAAATATGACCTTGTCAACCAAACTACCTTACATAACTCCCACAACCCCTACCAACCCACCTCACACACCAACGGCGAGTTCCGTCCCTCTAGAATCTTCTCTTACCATATGACCACTTCCTGTCAGTACTCCCCCTCCCCTCCCTCCCTCCACCCCCACCTCAACTCTTCACTGTAAACCTAATATTGACTTCCTGAAATTTAAAACTTCAAATAAAATCTTGAAACAACTTCGATCAACTTACACAAAATAAAAAAAAATAAAATAAATCCAACTAAAACACCATGTTTTGAAATCAATTTGAAAAAGCCGCCCATACCAGTTCAATGCTGTCTCGTCTGCTAGCCAAGTAGCCCGCCATTTCCTGCCACACCAGGTTGTAACCAGTGGCGACATCATCATCAGCAACAACAACATCAACAACCTATTTATTCTAATATCCCTCCCCGAGCTAACGGTCGAGGGGTTGTGGAACGTTGCGATCTGCGCGTGCTCGTTAATTAAAACGTAATTATGCATTGACGTAGTCGTTGACAGGAGGCGTGGAGTGGGTGTGGGGAGGTTGATCGTTTGACGAAACATGGTATGGAACGTGTTCGATGCTGTCGTCTGGTAGACAGTTGGGATAGCGTCAGCACCACATGTATACGCTAAATGTGACAGTTAGGGATTCTATATTTTTTAAGGGTACTGAAGGGTACTCGTAGAAATGTATTCGATGCTGTTTTGCTTGTTTTGATATACTAATCCTTAACCTAACATTAGTCCTGATTCTGTGAATTCGATCAAAAGGTCGTTAAATACAAAAGGCCGATATGAATAAATTGCCGACTGAAAATAAGACCAACTGGGGAAAAAAAGGCCGACTTTAAAAAGGCCGACTGGACATAATAACCAACCCGGAAGTTAAAATAAAACTCACCAAAATGTTATTAGAACCCATCAAAATATCGGGCCTCAGTGCTGGTCAATACTGATGCAAAGATCCCGGGTGCAGGAGGTGAGGGTGTGGTTATTACATCACGACTGTCCATCTGGTCAGTGCATGACACCATTGAGTCAGCTGAGTCAGGCGGCTATGTTGTCGACACGCGTGCTACAGTAAACACACTATAAAGGATGCGGTGATAACACTTCAATTTTCACAAAGACGAGCCCATAGCGAGTACACAGGGCAATATGATGTAAACCAAGTTGAACTCGACTACACACCACATGTAAACAAAGTTCAATACAACAACACACCTTATGTAAACAAAGGTCAACTCGACTACACACCACATGTAAACAAAGTTCAATACAACTTCACACATTATTTAAACAAAGTTCAACACAACAACACATCAGTTGCAAACAGCGGTCAACTCAACCACACACCAGATATAAACAAAGTTCACCACAATCAAACACCACATGTACACAACCCCACTTTTCATTTATATATATTTAATTGTTTATTTACTTGTTATATTAATGAAAATGAGTATTTGTTTAATTCATAACTTGAACTCGCTCTAAATTGAACCGTGTTTGCTCAATTCATAACTTGAACTCGCAAAAGTTCGGCAACTTGTGTTGTACAAACATGTTGTCGTGATATCCTATCGTTCACACTCGGCAAGTTTTTATTTTTTAATGGAATTCCCGTCCTGACCTCGCCGAATAACGAGGAAAACAGGCGTTTCGAAATAACAACGGGCTAATGGTATGTTACACCTATTAGAACAATACATTTATCTTATCGGGAAGAGGGGGGAGGGAGTAGTGGAGGGGGTCTGTGTGGGTGATGTCATAAGTATGACAGACGCCCGTTATGGGACAGTAGGAACCAGACGCTAAACAAACACATTTTTTTTTACTTAGGTCAAATTAGGCTGTTGATTACCTCGACCCGCTGATTGGTCGAAACGAGGTCACGTGACGGGCCCGGGCGCGAACAGATTGACGTCTGACACGACGCTGTTAATTAACGATTAATTAACGATTAATTAACGGCGGTAAGCACCTCGCGCCGTTAATGTTGTTTGTCTGTAGAGATTGGTCAGGTTGTCATAATAATGAAGGTGGCGTACATGAGCGCCCTACACTGACCTGTAGGTCAAGATCATGTAACCCCCCCCCCCCCCCCAGCCTCCAGCAAATCTACTAAACTACTAATTGGTGTTGATAAGTATCTAGACAATACAATTCAAATCAACTTTATAATTAATTCGGTCAGTTGAAGTATTTGACTATTAAATTGAGTCATTAATTTTCAACACAAACAAAACATAATTTAATATCCACAAAAGTTTCCTAAATGTAAATAATGGAATGACTTCTTCTGCGGACAAAAAAATCCGGCAGGAGACGACAGAAGAAGGGTGAAGATGGTGCGACTATTTGTTGCCGTTGTCGTTAAGACCTACTGATGGGTATGATGGAATCAGTGGAGTGGACAGTGTCCTGTTTAGGGTGGCAAATCAAGTGGGAAATCTGGTGGTAGTAGTAGTGGTGGTGGTAGTGGTAGTTTCCGTGCGAGTTGTCTTCGTTAGAGTGCAGATTTAAGTCCGTCATTTCGTCAAAACACGATCTCAATGGTGTCATATTCGATAGTTCGGTCATGGTTGTATATAGTGGAGTACATAGTAGTGGGAAGGTTTAGAGTGTTTAGAGCGTGTGGTGTTTGATGGTGGTGCAAAGGGAGACTCTTGTGGTGCATATATGTGAAGTGTTGAGTGTAACGTGTGGTGAATGTAGTCAGAGGCGTAGCGACCCTTCCCGGCGCACGGGGACAAACTTTCGATTTGCACTCCCCCCCCCCCTCAAGATTTCGATTTGCACCACCACCCCCCCACCTCAAGATTTCGATTTGCACCCTCCCCCCCCTCTCAAACTTTCGATTTGCACCCATTTTGGCGCCCCCTAAGGCCGGCGTCGGGGTCATATGTTCCCCCACCCGCTCCCCCCTCGCTATGCTACTGAATGTTGTATGTGGTGTGTGTAGTGTGTGGTGTATGTGATGTGTGGTGTGTGTGGTGTTATGTGTGGTGTGTGTGGTGTGTGGTGTTTGTGGTGTGTTATGTGTGGTGTCTTATGTGTGGTGTGTGTGGTGTATGATGTGTGGTGTATGTGACGTGGTATATGTAACGTTGGGTGAATGTAGTGTGTTGTGTATGTGGTGAATATGACGTGGTGTGTGTGTGGTGTGCTCCCAAAGACACATAATAGCAATTTAATTAACACATTTTTAGCCAGAACATATGGTGTTGAGGTTTGTATTGTGTGCGCACTTATAGCCTACACGTAACCCCTTCCAACCTAAGTGCCACTCGTTAAATATACATCACGTAACAATATTTCCCAGACATGCCTTCTTCTGGAATTTCCAGGGTTAAATAAAAAGAAACAGACCAAAAAATGACGCAGACGTGACCTGGAAGATGACACAACACAGATGGGCTACCACTGGGAGCAGGCGGGTCACCACTGGAAGCAGGCGGCTCACCACTGGAAGCAGGGGGGTCACCACTGGGAGCAGTGGGGTCACCACTGGGAGAAGGCGGGTCACCACTGGAAGCAGGGGGGTCACCACTGGGAGAAGGCGGGTCACCACTGGGAGAAGGCGGGCGGGTCACCACTGGGAGAAGGCGGGCGGGTCACCACTGGGAGAAGGCGGGTCACCACTGGGAGAAGGCGGGCGGGTCACCACTGGGAGAAGGCGGGTCACCACTGGGAGAAGGCGGGCGGGTCACCACTGGGAGAAGGCGGGTCACCACTGGGAGAAGGCGGGTCACCACTGGGAGAAGGCGGGTCACCACTGGGAGAAGGCGGGTCACCACTGGGAGAAGGCGGGTCACCACTGGGAGAAGGCGGGTCACCACTGGAAGCAGGGGGGTCACCACTGGGAGAAGGCGGGTCACCACTGGGAGAAGGCGGGCGGGTCACCACTGGGAGAAGGCGGGCGGGTCACCACTGGGAGAAGGCGGGCGGGTCACCACTGGGAGAAGGCGGGCGGGTCACCACTGGGAGAAGGCGGGCGGGTCACCACTGGGAGAAGGCGGGTCACCACTGGGAGAAGGCGGGCGGGTCACCACTGGGAGAAGGCGGGTCACCACTGGGAGAAGGCGGGTCACCACTGGGAGAAGGCGGGTCACCACTGGGAGAAGGCGGGTCACCACTGGGAGAAGGCGGGTCACCACTGGGAGAAGGCGGGTCACCACTGGAAGCAGGGGGGTCACCACTGGGAGAAGGCGGGTCACCACTGGGAGAAGGCGGGCGGGTCACCACTGGGAGAAGGCGGGCGGGTCACCACTGGGAGAAGGCGGGTCACCACTGGGAGAAGGCGGGCGGGTCACCACTGGGAGAAGGCGGGTCACCACTGGGAGAAGGCGGGCGGGTCACCACTGGGAGAAGGCGGGTCACCACTGGGAGAAGGCGGGTCACCACTGGGAGAAGGCGGGTCACCACTGGAAGCAGGGGGGTCACCACTGGGAGCAGTGGGGTCACCACTGGGAGCAGTGGGGTCACCACTGGAAGCAGGGGGGTCACCACTGGGAGCAGGCGGGTCACCACTGGAAGCAGGGGGGTCACCACTGGGAGAAGGCGGGTCACCACTGGGAGAAGGCGGGCGGGTCACCACTGGGAGAAGGCGGGTCACCACTGGGAGAAGGCGGGCGGGTCACCACTGGGAGAAGGCGGGCGGGTCACCACTGGGAGAAGGCGGGCGGGTCACCACTGGGAGAAGGCGGGTCACCACTGGGAGAAGGCGGGCGGGTCACCACTGGGAGAAGGCGGGTCACCACTGGGAGAAGGCGGGTCACCACTGGGAGAAGGCGGGTCACCACTGGGAGAAGGCGGGTCACCACTGGGAGAAGGCGGGTCACCACTGGGAGAAGGCGGGTCACCACTGGAAGCAGGGGGGTCACCACTGGGAGAAGGCGGGTCACCACTGGGAGAAGGCGGGCGGGTCACCACTGGGAGAAGGCGGGCGGGTCACCACTGGGAGAAGGCGGGCGGGTCACCACTGGGAGAAGGCGGGTCACCACTGGGAGAAGGCGGGCGGGTCACCACTGGGAGAAGGCGGGTCACCACTGGGAGAAGGCGGGTCACCACTGGGAGAAGGCGGGTCACCACTGGGAGAAGGCGGGTCACCACTGGGAGAAGGCGGGTCACCACTGGGAGAAGGCGGGTCACCACTGGAAGCAGGGGGGTCACCACTGGGAGATGGCGGGTCACCACTGGAAGCAGGGGGGTCACCACTGGGAGAAGGCGGGTCACCACTGGAAGCAGGGGGGTCACCACTGGGAGAAGGCGGGTCACCACTGGGAGAAGGCGGGTCACCACTGGGAGAAGGCGGGCGGGTCACCACTGGGAGCAGTGGGGTCACCACTGGAAGCAGGGGGGTCACCACTGGGAGCAGGCGGGTCACCACTGGAAGCAGGGGGGTCACCACTGGGAGCAGTGGGGTCACCACTGGGAGCAGTGGGGTCACCACTGGAAGCAGGGGGGTCACCACTGGGAGCAGGCGGGTCACCACTGGAAGCAGGGGGGTCACCACTGGGAGCAGTGGGGTCACCACTGGGAGCAGTGGGGTCACCACTGGAAGCAGGGGGGTCACCACTGGGAGCAGGCGGGTCACCACTGGAAGCAGGGGGGTCACCACTGGGAGCAGTGGGGTCACCACTGGAAGCAGGGGGGTCACCACTGGGAGAAGGCGGGTCACCACTGGAAGCAGGGGGGTCACCACTGGGAGCAGGGGGGTCACCACTGGGAGCAGGCGAGTCACCACTGGAAGCGGTCGGAAAAACTAGCATAACAAAGATGGGTGACCACAGGAGAAAATAGAGAAACAAGCTCAATTTCCGGTTTTTCTGAAAACTTCTTGCTTCTATCCAAGTGGGACAACAAGTAGGACCAGTGGCTATTCTCTGGTTGATCTTTTAAAGTTAAATTTCGTGATACTGTAACAGTTAAATGTAGATGAATGTATGTTTCGAGTGTGTATCTTAAAAAGGCGATATGAATATAAAATATAGGATGGGTGTGCGCATGCGCTAAGGAAAGGAAGCAGAGAGAGGTAGATAGATTGCGAGGAGATGACGAAACTGAAGTCGTGGTTCTAGTAGTGTAGCCGCTATATATCTGATATCAATAAAAGACTGTAAAATCACCAATAATGTGGTTTGTATTTGCCTTTAGTTTGTGCCATGAACCCAGTCATATAAAAGGGCTGTGACAGATACTATGTACGATTATTTAATGACCTCCCCCCCCCCCCCCCCTTATGCTTCCTGAAAAGTGAGTGGGAAGCGGATTATTTATTTTTTTCCATTTCAATTTTTTTTTTATTAAATTTTCATCCGCCTAAATCTATTTAAAAATACGTGCATAAAAATAATACACTTAACTCATGTCAAATTTTATTTTTGTGAACCCTGGATCCTGGATAAGTCTAGTTTAAATTTAAACTTTAATTCGTGTCTATATTTCACCTCATTACACTTGATTTTTAAATTATCGTCCTTGATTTAAAATTATCGCCCTTGAATTGCGATTATGGCCCTTGTCGAAGTAAACACAACTCACGAGAACCAACAGGAAAACAAAAAAAGTGTGAATTATATTTTTGTCACGCTTGAGAGCGTGCTTGTATGCCAAGTTGGCTTTGTTTATTAGTTTTAAACTACGACTGTATTTGACCTTGATGTGTAGCGTACAGGAACTACGCCTCAAAAGTTGGACTTTATTGACCCCGTTAACTGATGAAATAAACTGTCAATTGACGAGCCCTTAACTATAACCATAAACTATAACCTTAAATTTTAACCCATAACGCTAACTTAAAACTCATAACCTTTTGTAACGATAAGGTTAGCCTATCACCCTCACCCTGCGCACACCACTCCACCCTCAACCCCGTCCCCATGCACACCACAACATTCCACCATCTCCCCCTCCCATAAGCACACCATACCTTCCTCCACCCCCCCCCCCCCCCCCCACACACACACACACCCAGAGCTTCTTCCAGTCATCTCTTTGCCCCCCCTCAACAAAAAAAAATTGAAGTGCTCCCCCCCCCCCCTCCGGAAATTTTAGTCCGCCCCCCTTAAAAAAAAATGAGGTCCCCCCCCCCCCCCGGAGAAAAAAGTCTGGAAGATACACTGCACACACCCACTTCACCACCATTATACTAATCCCCATTGAGATTCCAGACCTTCCTGTGGAGATATCTGTGCCTGCTCCAACCAGCCCTCTATCGTGACATGGTACTCTCGTGGGCGTCTTGACTTGCCAGGATGTCTCCTCCGTTATTCTATTATTGCAACCAGCCGCTGGCCAGTTTGTCGTGTCGGACAGGCGGGGTTATCGGTCCTTTGCTCCCAGATCTCTAGCACCGGTACAGGAAGTGGGGAAATGGCGGCCGCAGGAAAGGTCACTCTGCTAATCACGAGCGAGATAATGAGTTATGTCATTAAAACTGAAGGATTTTTTAATTTTTTTTTAATTAAAGGGTGTTGTACGTAAAAGACGTAGTTAATTATCAAGTTCATTTTAAATGTGTTGATTAAAAAACTAGGCCTATTTCTCAATACTAATCAACGATAATTACTAGAAAGGGGTCAGCGATTCCTTAGCCAATTATGTGGTTTTTTCCTTGTTGTTGGTTTGTATAGTGAGTAGAGTTCACATTTCTCTCCAGTTGTACGAAGTTGGAAGTCGCGTATTTTCGTTGTAGAGCGTAATTTAACAAATTTGAATATTTATTACTAAATGCTTCAAAATCTCAACAGCAACAACAATAAAATGCGCGATGAAAATTATTGCGCAATGATAATATGAGCGACCGAAATTGCGCAATTTGAAAATGCGCAGTGATAAAATTGCGCAAACGAAAAAATACTAACGGAAACTTAAGCTCCAAGAAAATTCTACGCTTAGGAAAAAATAGGAAAATTAAATTTTGAATTTACATTACTTTACGCTGCGCAATTTCTCCAGTAAGTTGTTTTTTTTTAACTGCTGGTCAAGGATTGATAAAACCGTTCATTATAATTTAATGTTACTATAACTACAATAATTGGAAACATTTACTGACATTTAATAGTGTACTACAGGGGATGCTGTGGCCTAGAAGTAGAGCGCTAGACTGCTAATCCCAAAGTCTCCAGATCGGATCCCTGTCACGAGTCTGTAGGACGTCCTTGAGTCCACCAAGTTTATTTGGGTACCTGACTCACGTTTGGAAAACAAAGGACGGATGGGCATAGTGCTGGCTACACTACTACCCTGTATGCCGATGTTAATGGAACAGTTAGATGAATAGTATAGAAATGCTTAAATCCGCACATAAAAAGCTGTATTTTAACCCCGCACACCACCTCTCGAAGCTCCCCCCCCCCCCCAGTGTTTCTTCCAGACTTTTTTCTCCGGGGGAGGGGGCACTTGATTTTTTTTTTGGGGGGGGGGGGGGAGGTGGCGGTCGACATTTTTCGGGGGGGGGGGGGGGCGGACAATAGTAAAAGTGTATGTTTACTATATAAAATCCATCTCGTTCGGGGGGGGGGGCAGTAGACTTTTTCGGGGAGGGGGGGAGGCAGAGAAGAGATGCCTGGAAGAAACTCTGCTCCCACCACCCTCCTAATTGCGTTTCTTTTATAGAAAGAATATGTAAAATCAAGTAGACGATCGCAAACTTGGGCTATTTTAACTATTAATATAACATAATATGGAGGATTTGTATCGATTACCAACATACTCAGGTTTGCACCATTTTCTCACCAGATCTCAATGTTGTATTTATATCACGGCCAAGTACACCCTTCCAGCCGATTACAAAACGCGGGCTTTAGGACAGGATCAGTGCTGAACTTTTGTACGGGCAGACGTCGGTCGGGCTTAAACCCCTGGTCGACCCGTGGGGTCAGTGTCCGCTTAATCGGATCACCGCGTGGTTTCAATTAGTGCGCCGTCAGCGGGAATACCGCACCCCCCCCCTTCCCCCGGTGGCTAAGGTCATAATGGGCGTTGTGTATGTATAGTCCTACAGATAAGCAAGACCCATACATTACTAATAGATTAGATCACTTAAAATGAAACGCCTGTCTAAATATGTACCTATCATTAAGTCTCTATATAAGCGTAGTGTTCAGCTTACCTAAAAGTCTTCCTATAGGCCTTATCGTTAAGGTTGGAAAACGTCTCAACATTTGTTGAGTTACGTGGGTCGAAAAAAAAAGTTTTATATTAACGATGGCAGCCATATTGATGCCCTAAAGCGTATCCGATTTCAAATCTAAACTTTGTTACTAAACTAATTATTATTCTAAAAGAATCCGTACATTAGGTTAAAATTAAGTTTCAATTATTAATCTTCGGTTTTAGGAGTGAGGGGGAGGGGGGGGTCTTTTACTTTAAATCTGTTATAAAATCTATCCACGAGAAAAATTCATGTCCCCCATTCATAACACATCTAACTTAAAGCTTATCAAAATATCCTTATCGGCGTCTGCTATTTACGAACACGTGGGTGTAGAAAATCCAACACAACTCAAAATATTTTGGTTGCATTTCCCCCCATAAAGCCCAAAACAGAAACCCCCGCAAAAAAAATGCAACATTATCTCTTCCAAAAATATCCCCCAAAAATATGACGCAATTCTCGTCCCCTTGTGACGTCAGCCTACATGCAGGAGCTCCTCGTGTGACGTAGTTCACCCCACCTCCCACTTCCCCCCAGTCCTGCGCTGTGGCGGCATCGCCTGCTGAGAAATTGATAGCCCCAGTTGACATATTGTTCAGCCCTGCGGCATTGTAAAAAAATAATAAAAAATTCAATGTAAACATGCACGCTTTAGCATCGATGTGACGTCACGGATTGTTGTGCGTAGTACGATCGTTTCTAAAATTGGCGTCTGTGTATCGTGATGCTGCTAAAAATAGATATGTGCTTTGTATACAGTTATCAGAATAGCAGCATGGAGTTAAATATAGATCAGAAGAAAGAAGACACATTTTAAATTGTCGTTTACGTTGAAAGCAGGGGCCTTGTTTGTTATTATTATAGTTTTAGAGAAGTTTCTGGAGAAAATAAGTTTGGGTACTGAAGCAAGCCACGCATGTAAATTTCGAAATTCGGAATTTTCTCCCTAACAAAATAGGCCTACATGAATCAACTTCTTTTTCTTTACAACACAATATCATCATCTGCATTTAGATCTACCTTCATCTTCGTAGTAAAACTGGTTTGGCTGAAATTCGGTTGTTTAAAAAATTGTGAAAGTTTTAGAATTGTTTTCAAAAAAAAATTATATATTAAAATATTTTTAAAATTTCACTACGCATTCATTTTGTAAGATAACAAAATTTCCTTCATTCTATTACTAAGTCTACTAACAACGTGAACAGTGTTTCTTCCAGACTTTTTTCTCCGGGAGGGCACTTGAAATTTTCGGGGGGGGCGGTAGACTTTCTTCTGGGGGGGCGGGACACTGTTTAAAGTATATATTTGCTATATAAATTATATAAATTTCATTTCGTTCGCGGGGGGGGGGGGGGGGGCGGTAAAAATTTTTCGGGGGGGGGGGGGGGGGAGGAGATGCCTGGAAGAAACTCTGAACGTGAAAATTCACTTTCTTGGTATCCACGACTTATGCATTTATTGTGATTATACTGTGTACCTAAAAATGTTCATTGTGACCCCAAACTACCCAAAATTTTATAAATTGCCCCCCCCCCCCCCCCCAAAAAAAAAAACAATGTTATAACTTTTAAAGTATTTTAAAGTTAATACAATTTCCAAAAAAAGCGT